TGGCTCTGGCTGATTGGCTGGATCTAGGGGTAGTTGGTGGGGTGATAGGTCGTGGCTCTGGTCAATTGACAGGGTCTAAGGGTGGTGGGTGAGCTCTTTGCTGAATGGAGAGGAGAGAGACCAAGCTCTGATTGGGTGAAATAGGATCCAGGTCCTGATTGGCTGAGGTAGGATCCGGGTCCCAATTGGCTGAAATAGAATCTGGGAGCTTGCCCTTTCAGTAGTTATTTAATTCATTTTCAAAATCAGATTTATAACATATTTGCCTAATTGGCTGCAGAAAAATGAATTTTAACATGATTCTCTCCAGCAGCTTCTTCCTGTCACTAAAAGTTCACAGGGTCCTTTGTGGATTCAGACATTCTTACTTAAAAATAAACATGCAAGACAGGCCATGACTCAGAGTCTCTCAGAAACTAGGCCTTTTAGTCTTTGTAGTGACTGGTTATAAGATGCTGATGTCTGTTATGGAGTGATCTCTCTACTGCAGCCCATGGGGAGACCTCCACCTTGAGTGATGTACTTGACTAATAGGGAAAAATAAGAAGCCCAAAGATGACATCTGCTCTTCCTGTTTCCTGTGTTTCCAACTACATATTTTGGGTAACTTTGGATCCATGACATGAATGGAGAGGAGACTCTGGTCATGTGCCTTGTCTAACCTAATAGCTGACAGATTGGAAAGGGTTGAGCTTGTGTCAGGTATGCATCAGAACTCTCCTCAGATAAACTTTGGTAATAGTCTCACACTGGCTCCACCTGCCTTCTCCAGCACTGAGCTGATTCTGAGGGCCAATGGCTGAGCCCTCAGGAGTTACAAGGACTTCAGCAGCCTCATCTGTTTGGAGGGAACACTTGCCTGTATGAAGGTCACACGCGATAAGGAAAAGCATACTGTAAGCCATTCTAGATATTATTGAGCCCTTATTTTTGACACACTAATGTATTTCTCAATGAAATTTCAATAAAATTTAAAAAGTATTTCAATTTTTGTGCAAGGCATATTGTATATCACTTGAATTTAATGTGTTTCATTGGTCTGTTTTTTTTAAAAAAAGAGGTAAACATATTTCTTCCACTTGAGAAGCTAGAGTCAGTTTCTTTAATTTTATATGTAAAGTTTAAAAGTGAGCATGGCCTTTATTGGTTGTCCTAGTCTTAGGACCGTGTCTGTACTGTAGGAAGGGTGGGTGTCCCTGGTTCACTACTGAATAAAACTGTTTTGTTCAAGCCATTTGAATCTGCTCCAGCTTGGCCTGGTTCTTACTGGTAGTAACGTAACATATGGAAACTTCAGAGGAACACAATCCAGGGTTGTTTACCAATGTGTTAAATGAGATCTTCTGTTCTTAAGAAAGATAAATGGCAATAATTGGATTGAATTGAATGTGTAGATATCTGAAAAGGCCAGCAAAATGTAGTTTTGCTTACCTGGCATTGAAAGAAGGTTTGTTTTGTTTTGTTTTGTTTTTACTAAATCATTGCTCATATTTCTAGAAAGCAACACTTAAATGGTAAGACTCTGATTCAAGATTGTTTGTGAATATCATTTTCATAGACCTAATAAAATTAGGCACAATCATTATCTTTTTAAAGGTTTAAAATACAATTTTTGTTATTTTACATTAATCATAAAAATCATACCTGAATTATAAAAGACTCCTGATTCCTTTTCAGGTTTCCTACAAACTTTTCCATTAGTTAAATCTCAGTAACTGCTCTTATTATATTATTTTATAACTGTATCCTCATTTTAAAGATCTTTATTATATAAATAATGTTTATTGTTAAAAAATACAAAATTACATAAGCAGAGTAAAACATAAAAGTCTCCCACTTCCTATCCTTGCTCCTCAGCGTAGCCATAGTTAGCAATGTTGTTATATTCTTGATATGCATATACAACCATTCACAGACATGTTTATTTATGTATGTTTTTATATGTCCTGGCTGAATACAGAGATAAAACTTAGGTAATCTAGAGAATGAGTAGGGTATAGATTCTCTGATCACTCTATACCATTATTTTTTCTTACAGTGAGTTTATTTTTAAAGATTTGGTGAGCAGATGGTTTTATGTTACATCTTCTATCAGAAGCCAGGAGGCATTCTATGTTGCCACTGTGCGGGAATCCATGTTCTGTGGGAGTCCAGAGGCAGGATGCCAGATCCAACCGTATGGCAGAGGGAGAGGCAATAAAAGTCACTGGGAAGATTACCTCTAAGCTGAGTTCTGCAGGGAGGTGAGAGAAAAAGTATTTCAGGAAAGGAGGAGCCATATATAGGAAGGGAATAATAGAGAATGGGGTGTTCACAGAACTGCATGTAGTTTATTACATGTGATGGTAGGAAATGGCAAGGATGAAACTAGAGGTTGTAGTGGTGATACTAATCAAGGAAGAAGTGAAAATTAATGAAAGTTGAATTGATGAATGATAATAGGTATAGAAAGAAAGAAATGCAGCCCAGATTTACTATGGAGGTAAATCTAGCATCTAATTGGGTGAAGAAGAGAGAAGGGACAGCGGTGAATCCCAGCGATATGTGAAACTAGGTGAAAAGCAGTGCGCCTCCCAACGATGGGGTGTAGGAGGAGTGTCAGCTTTGGACGTGTTTGGCTTGAGCTGCCTGTGAGAAAAGTGGAGGAGCACAGCATTCAGTCGAAAGGTCTGTCCTATAAATATAAGTAGTTGAAGTCCCGGGTGTAGATGAGGCCATTCAGCTAGAATGTATGGAATAAGGAGAGAAGTGAACAGTGAATGTACCCGGAGAACAGCCAATACATGAGAGACTGATGAATAAAGATGGTGGGTCTGAGGAAGAGAAGCCAGAAAGGGAAAAGGAAGGTCATAAGAGAATATTGTTCTGGAAATCCAATGGACAGAGGCTCCCTGAATGAGGGAGTGGTCCCATGCTGCAGAGGTTAAGAGTTTCAGAGGGAGGCAACGATTTTGCAGTTGATTCGTATTTTAAAACCCAATTCTTTATTCAAGGAATCCTTTCCTTCTAATGTGTACAGACATTTTACAAAAATCACAGAGGTTCCTATAATGGGTGTTAGAGGGCCTGAGAGCTTAGCTTTACTTTAGCCTCTACCAGAAATCCCCATGATCCCTTAATAAAATCTTTTTACCATGTTGCATTACCTCATTCACCTATAGGGCTGAGAGAAGCAACAAAACTCACACTAAATATACAAAACAAAACTATTTTTTGAATGGCTTTTAATTGCAATATTAACTAATTTTATTTTAGTATGTTTGTATGTGTCACTCACTGTAGTAGGTAGCTTAACTCATTAAATTCTCACGATAGCCCCATGACATGGATATTATTATATTACCACTTGACCGGTGAGAAGACTGAGGTTTATCAACTTGCACTTGGTCATACTGCTGAGGGGCTGGAGTCTGGCTCTATCCTAGAGCATTTCTCTCAGCCTTCACAGAGACATGGCTGTGCTAAGGAAGCTGCCTGCACATTTTCTCCCCAGTTTGCCATCAGAGCTGTGCTGTGCAGCTAGATACAGTGAAAGAACTGATTACTTATGGCCTGCTAGAAAAGATACACCAAATTTTCCTGGTTATTTAGAGTCCAAGTCATTGGCAGACTGAACGAAAATTCTAGATAATATTCAAAAAAATAGAGAAGCAGACATAAATATGCAGAATAAAAATGTAGAAAGAGTTTAACAGGAAGTACAATCAAACTTTGATCATTTAGATAGAAACAAGCAATTCTGTGCCATGATAGATACATAATTTCAGTGGAAGAGAAATTATCTTTCTATTATTTACAATGAATGTAAATCCTGAAGATAAGGAATGGAAAGAAATAAGGAAATTAATAAAATTTGTGATAATTAAGATGTGACTGAACAACAGGTGCAGAGAGAAGAAACAGCATGCTTGAAAAGGACAGAAATCCTGAGACAGTCCCTTCAAGGGAAGCCTAAACTTACTTTCTTAAATAAAGACAATGTGTTTAATAATAGTTTGCTACTTTGCAGACTAGTAGGCATATTTAGTAAAGCAGTAAGATATTTGTCTTCACTGTTATTGTCAGAGATACAAAAGAAGATAAAGGCACTGGAAGGACATTTTTGAAAAAAAAAAAGGGTATTAGGATTACAAGGAGCAATAATACTGTGCCTATCCTGTGGTCCTACTGACCTAAAGGGGTAGACAGGGGATAGAGAGAGAAGATTAGTAACATAACTGGGCATCTAGTAAAAATATCCCAGTGACTTCATCCAAACATTTGTGTAAACATCACCTCATCAGTCCCAGAGAGTTCTACAGGAAACAAATTTAAATGCTCCTCTGCTGTTCTAAACATAGCCAGTCAGCCAGCATATGTCTTGTCTGTAAATACCCTGTCTTGCTTGGAAGTCTTTATTTTAAAATTTCTTTCTTAAAGAGAGGGTTGCTGAGAGCATGCTGTCTTTGTTCAGGACCTCTGCTTTGAGGTCTGACCTACAGGTCTTCTATTCAGTTTTTAAACAAAATAAACAAACAAAACACTCCCCTCCTCAACATCTCTCATGCTTAGTTTGCTTAAGCAATAAGAAGATGTACTAATTGCTGAAAGCTTGCCAGGGTCATATTACTAAATATTGCTCTGAGTACTATAAACCAATGAATTAATTAGGAAAAAAAAGATTTTCCTTTGGCATATGGTACCAGAATTTGTAAAAGAATTTATTTGCTTGATATAAAAGTTTTATTTTGCAAATAGTTCAACAATAGGCAAAAAAATTAAAATCAAGTTTTTGGTAGAAAGTTTCCCAATATATGCTATTTAATGGGCTAAAGACATGGCACTGAGGCTCCTGATAACATGAATAACTAAACTTCTATGTAGTGCAGATTTAAGTTTTGAAATTCTAACTTTCCTTTAGCCTAATTTCTTTAAGCCCTTTAGGAACATCCTAATATCCTCAACGATTAGCATCACTGGAATATTTTAAATTAAATATCTTTTTTCTTTCTAATATTTTTTGATATTTTCTATTGCTGTTATACAGCCAATTATTCTTACACATTATTCTCAATGCCTATTAGTACATATTGATGATAATCACAGCAGTAGGATCCTTCCATAGATGTTCAGCACTTGGGCACTAACAAAACTTGGCATCTGATAAAGTTATTTCTATGAGGGAGTATTTTGTGACACAATTTGGCTATTCATGTGTTTTGAAACATGCTATAATGATGTTTGACCATTAAAGAGGAACACGAGGTAATGCCCGAGCCTGTGAGCCCATAGCTCACCCTCTTGTTCTTCAGCAGCATGGGAGGGTCTGTGCAATAAGACAGAACAGGGACAACAGTTCATATGCCCTCATAATAAAACAAACATTGCAGTTCAGGTTTGCAACTTGATAAATAGGTAGAGCCATTAAATTCCACTGGGAAAAAATATGTACATTGGTGCTTCCCTTAGTCCTTTGAAGTTATTGCATTTTCTCCATATTTCTATATAAATTCATTCCAAATAAGCTGGACCTGGGGATACATTATGGCTAAGTGCAGAAGGCTGGCTGCTCAGCAGGCTTCATCCTTGCTATACACATATGTTTGAATGTTCTCTTGCAGGAAGAATGATGAGAAAAAGAAGGACCACCACTTAGCAACGGAAAGTTTTCTGATTTGTAAAATAAGATAGTTTGTGAAATGACAATAGTATTTCTTTTTTTTTGACAGTAGTATTTCTGATCATAAATTTTTCATCCAGGTGGTAACACCCACAGATTGGAAAGCATTGATAAAAAACGAACATCCCCCACAATATATATTTGCATTTTTATGTTTATATTGTATATTTGATTGGAGAGCATTGATAAAAAACGAACATCCCCCACAATATATATTTGCATTTTTATGTTTATATTGTATATTTGATTGGAGAGCATTGATAAAAAACGAACATCCCCCACAATATATATTTGCATTTTTATGTTTATATTGTATATTTATCTTTTTGACTAGCTAGAATTTTGAGAAATGTTCCAGAAACTCTGCGATTAGGTTTCACCAAGAACTCTTACACTTCTCTGGAAGAAGGTCAGCAGTTAAATAGAGAAAGACAAAATAATATGAGCATAATTGTGAAGAAGGCCAGTTACCCTCTGGCTTCCCATTTTTCTGCTGCTTCCTGGCCCACACACATCTCAAGGATTCCTGCAGGGCACACTGCCCTCCACATGGCTCCTCACACTGCATGGCAGCTCTGCCCTCCCCTGGGGAAGGGTGAATATGAGGGCACAGACTCCAGCCAGTCTGGGTTCAAATTCCAGCTCTGTGACCTTGGACAAATTAGTTAACTCCTGTGTGCAATTTCCTCCCTTGTTAAATGAGGGGTAAAACTAGTATCTATCTAATAGAAGAAGGAGTTAATATGTATAGAGCTTAGAACAGTACCTGGTACCTAGTACATACTCTAAGTGTTAACAATAACGGCAATAATAGTAATCATTATTATATTTCAAGTCATTTTCCATCTCTCTTAACTCTGCCATCAGAACTAGCCAGGCCTATCCATTCCCTATCATCCTTTTGAGGTGATAATCATGCTACTTTTAATTGATTGGCTAATTATTGTTAATGCTGCTTGTCTCAGGGAGAGAGTTGAAGGGGACCAGCCACACTGGCTGCCTAATTGATCCTCATTCCACACTCAGCACCCTGCTGACTCGAGATCCTTGTTTCTGCTGTTTTCTCTCTCTTCAGTGTTCTTCCTAAGGTATCCACACAGTGAATCCTCTGCTTAATTCAGGTCTCTGCTTGAATTTTACCTTATTAGAGAGTACTTTGCTGACACCTCATCTAAAATAGCAACTCCCTCTACTATCACCATTATTTTCTTGCCCCTTTTTCTGCTGGATTTTCCATCACAGTGCTAATCACCACCTGACATAGCTTAGTTTATTGACTGTCTCCTCCCACTAGAATGTAAACCCCAAGTGCAACAACTTTGTTTCATTCATTGTATCATTAATACCTAGAACACAGCCTGGCATGGGGTGGGCACCCATTAAATATTATCTTAATAAACTATTAAATAATTTAATCTAAAGGAATATCTCTTTAAAGGTCGATATTTTGGCTGGTATGGCAGGATGAAATGGTAAGCATTATAGACAGAAAGGGCCACTGTAGAGCCACTTAATTCCTATCACAAAAGCTATGATCTGTTCCACCTGTTACGGCAGTTAATCACCTCTGCTCCCTCACCACACTTTATATATTCCTTTATTATATACAGCCTATATCATCTTCTATAGTGATATTTCTGCTCCCTTCCTGGACTGCAATAGCGTCAAGGACAGGGAGCATATCTTGTTCCTATTTGTGTTCCCTTGTTGGTGGTCCTTGTTAATGTTTGCTGAACCAATGTATAATGTTAATATTACTGTAATTCTTATTCAGAATTTTATGACAAATGTGTATTAGAAATAAAGGAAATCAAGTAGACGCTAGAATAATTTTTATGTTTTTTTCACAGATCATGGCAGCACAATTTGTTTGAATTCAGACGACATTATGTCAATTGCACTAATGGAAACCAAGAACCAAGAAGGGTTAAACTATATGGTACTTATTCCAGAATGCAGCCAAGGTGAAGAAAATTCTGAGGGTCCACTAGGCTCCAAGGAATCTGATTCTTGTGGTCTGAGGGAAGAAGAGAAGGAACCACATGCAGACAAAGATATCTGCCAAGAAAAACAAGTGGCTCACTGCCTTCCTGGCAAGCTTACAGGCCTGAACTATGCCTGTCTCACTCACGGTGGATATGGAGATGGGTTTGATTAATAGCTCTGTTTGGGAAATGCAGAGTGGAGATAAACACTCCCTTTAAGTAGTCACTGAAAGAAAACCTTAGTAGAATGATAGATGTGTGGGGGTCTATGACTCTGAATTAACACAGCTTCCGAATTCCTAAATTCTTCTTTCTGAGAGCCATTTGGTTTCAGTTGTGACAATCCCCATAACAACTGCCTGACCTTCGGCAGGGTTCTGAGGTGAACCGCTACACTTTTGGAAAGCTTAGCAAGCCTCATGAATCTGGAAGGGAAACTGCTCCCCCTCTCTCTTGAGGTCCCTAAGGCCATTGCCCATCCTTCAGTCTGGGCTGTAACAGAAGCAATTTGGTCACATACAGACAAAATAGCTATGTTCAGGGACCTGAAGGAGGGGCATGAGAAGTATGCTTAGGGGGCCTACTGAATTACAAATTATTCCCGAATTTATATACACATAAAAGAAGAAGTGACTAAATACATATACAGAAGAAACCATCACCTATGACAGGAGGAATCATTTGGAAAGCTATTACTACAATAAAATATTTAATGACTACTTTAAAATATTTTGCATTTTGGAAGCTTGGGACAGCGGCTTTAGTCATATGGAAAATAAGACCATGAAGATCTCTAAATTCTGAAGTTTAACATTCCACAATCTTTTGAGTTGTATAAAAATCACTTTGTGACTTGTGTGCTGTCATGGAAATTAGCTAATATAAAGATTGTTTTCATCTGCTATATCTATTTTATACACAAAATACTTAAGATTGTATTTAGTATCAAATTACCCTTAAAATTAAATAAAAATGATTATATAATGCTAATCCAAGGTCTTATTTTTTAGCCACTACATGAAATAATAAATATATAAATGAGAACTATTTTAAAAATTCTTAAGAGAAACGCTTTGGTTTAAAGCCAGTCATTTTTCCAGTTACCCATTGAAATCTGAAATCCTCAACTGCTCTAACATCAACACTAATGAAGGCATTTTGTGTGTTATTCAGTTGCAGTATTCAGGATATTTGCTAGATATAGAAGACACTTTGATTATAGCAATTGCTGAAAACTGTGGAAGAGGATCGTGTATCCATCTACATATTGGGTACTTTCGTTCATTTTTAAATTTGCCTGTTGCCTGAGAACTGTAGAGATGATTGGATGTATGGTGAGGAACACAGGGCAGTCAGTGTGTCAGTTCTGTGGTGAATAGTCCCTGAGTACCTGTCCAGGGCTTGTAGCCATTCTGTTATATCTGTCATTTTGTTGAACGAGGCAGGATATTTTCTCTCTGATCTTCTAACTTTCTAATGGGCATTTATCATTCTTTTTGGTAGCTCAGCTCATGATGCCCCTTCCCTGATTGGGGAATTCCTCCACCTTTCTCTTCTGGGTAGGAGCTATGTTCCATCTGCTTCCCCGAGATCTCTTGCAGTAAGAACACAGGCATGTGATCCCCACCACTCAGACACACCCACCACAGGCTTCTAATCAAGAGCTAAGGAAACAAACAGAGACCACAGTGAGTCTTCTCTGTTGAAGGTGGCAGCTGCAGTTGGTCTGGCTCCTGGCATCCTGGAGCCTGCTGCCTGCACCAGCTGGAGTAGCAGACTGGACTGGTTCTGCTGGCAACTTGCAGCCAGTGCTTCCAGCCAGTGCTCCCAGCAACTCCAAATCTCGTTTTCAAACTCTCGCAGGAATTCTGTGAGCTACCTCCATATCCTTTTAATAAATGTTTTCTTTTAAATCAGCCAAAGTAAGTTTCTTTTGCTGGAAATCAGGACTTTAGCTCTGCCTGTGTCATGGACATTTATTTTGGAATACACAAAGGGATCATAAGTGTTTAAAGAATTGGATTTTTAGTATTTACATTTGTATTACCATTTGGACAGTAGAAAAATATATAGAATATCTGAGGCAAACAGCCCATAAAAATATGATCTAGCTATTATACATATGTGCAAATTAGTCTTTTTTATAATAACATTGGTAGAAATATTTAATGCAAAATGAAGCAGACAGTGACTGAAATCTCATAGGTAATATTATTATAGATAAGAGTAATCGATAAAATACAAATGACTGGTATGGAAAACTATGAGTTAATTCTGAAAAATTAAATTTTGTAATCAAGAAGAAAAAAATTGTCAATGGCTAAACATCACACTTGTTAAAATGTATTTTTCACTAAAATAAAAATTTCACTCAAAATTAATTATTAAGGATAAAAATATTTTGATTTATTTTTTTATCTGCAAAATATGACCTTGGGATATTAGACTTGGGAGAAACAGTATCTCCCAAAGACAGAAGTTATAACTGGTAAATGAAATATAAAAGCTGGTCAATAAAATTCAACATCCATTTATGATAAAAACTCTCAAGAAAGTAGGTATAGAGGTAACATAAGTCAACATAATAAAGATCATATATGATAAGCCCCCAGCTAGCATCATCCTCAACAGTGAAAAATTAAAAAAGCTTTTCCTGTAAGATCAGAAGCAAGGATATCTACTCTCACCATTTATATTCAACATAGTATTGGAAATCCTGACCAGAGCAATTAGGCAAGAAAAAGATATAGAAGGTATCCAAATAGGAAAGGAAGAAGTAAAATTCAAAATGTGAAGATGACATAATATTATATATAGAAAGCTTTAAAGACTCCATCAAAAAACTATTAGAACTAATAATCTAATAAACTAATAAAGTTTCAGGATATAAAATCTATATGCAAAAATATGTTACATTTCTTTACACTGATAACCTATCAGAAAGAGAAATAAAGAAAAAAGTCCCATTTACAATTGCATCAGAAAGAATAAAGTACCTAGGAAAGAATTTAACCAAGAAAGTGAAAAACCTGTATGTTGAAAACTACAAGGCATTAGTGAAAGAAATTGAAGAAGACAAATAATGTAAAGATACTGCAAACTCACAGTCTGGAAGAATTAATATTGTTAAAATGTCTATATTACCCAAAGCAATATACAGATTCAATGCAATCCATATAAAAATTCCAATGGCCTTTTTCACAGAAATAGAAAAAACAAGCCTAAAATTTGTGTGAAACCAAGAAAAGACTCCTAATAGCCAAAACAGTTTTGAGAAAACAAATTGGAGGTATCCATTCCCTCTGGTTTCAAATTATATTACAAATCTACTGTATTAAAACTATGATACTGGTATAAAAACAGACATATAGATCATTGGTATAAAAACAGACACACAGAACAGAAAGCCCAGAAATAAACCCATGCATATATGGTCAATTAATTTACAACAGTGGAACCAAGTATATACAACAGGGAAAGGACAGTTGCTTCAATAAAGGGTGTTTGGAAAATTGCACAGCTAACATACAAAAGAATGAAATGACCATTATCTAATACGTGCACAAAAATTAAAATAGATTAAAGACTTGAACCTAAGACCTGAACCATAAAACCCCTAGAAGAAAACAGGTGGTAAGCTCCTTGACATAGCCCTTGGTGATGATTTTTGAATCTGACCCCAAAAGCAAGAGCAACAAAAGCAAAAATAAACAAATGGCACAACTGAAGAGCTTCTATAACGTAAAGGAGATCATCAACAAATGACAAGACAATCTACTAAATGGGAGAAAATAATTTCAAATCATAGATCTGATAAGGGGGTAACATCCAAAATACACAAAGAGCTCATATAAAATAGCACAAAAACAAACCAATTTAACAATGGGCAGGAGATCTGAATAGACACGTTTCCAAAAAAGACACAGATGGTGAACAGGTACATGTAAAGATGCTCATTGACCATCGGGGAAATGAAAATCAAAATAACAATGAAATATCATCTCATACCTATTAGAATGGCTATTGTCAAAAAGACAAGAACAAACAAATGTTTTGGTGAGGATGTGGAGAAAAGGGAACCCTTGTGTTGTTTGTGGGAATGTAATTTACTATAACCACTATGAAAACAGTACGAAGTTTCTTCAAAAAATTAAAAGTAGAACTACCATATGATCCAGCAATTCCACTTCTGGGTATTTATATGAAGAAAATGAAAACACTAATTTGTAAAATATATGCACTCCCATGTTCATTACAGCATTATTTATAATGGCCAAAACATGGAAATAACCTAAGTGTCCATCAATAGATGAATGGATAAAGACATGAATACACACACACACACACACACACACACACACACACATGGAATACTATCCAGTCACAAAAAGGAATGAAATCTTGCCATTTGTGACAACATAGATGGACCTTGAGGTTATTTTGCTGAGTGAAATAAGTCAGAGAGGAACAAATAATACTGTATGATATCTCTTATACATGAAATCTAAAAAAAAGCCAACTCATAGATACAAATTGGTGCTTTTAAGAGGCAGGGGATGAGGGATGGGAGAAATAGGTGAACTTTTTTTTAGTTTAAATACATTGAATAAAAATTATTTTTCAAATGCAATTTTTCAAAAAGAGAACACAATGAGGACAAAAGGAAGAAATTTTAGCAGTGAACCTTTTAAGTAAAAGATTTTTAAAGTAAAATGTAAGGGAATGTATACTTCAGGATGAAGTGGAAAATTAGTTTGATTTGAATTAACATCATTGCACCATATTAAGGAAAACTCAAACTACACAAATTAAAAATATTAGCACTGTATTTCAAAAGAACATTTACTTACAGCTATTATAGCTAAATAAACAATCTACTTTGACCATTCCTCTGAGTGGCAAAGCAACAGATGTGAAATAGGGAGAAGGAAGCAGAAAAAAAGTGAGAGAAAGAGATCACAACGGGAGACCTACTATCAGGGTCAATTATTATTCAGCTCAATTACTTGATTTTCTTTAAGAAACATCCTTAAAAAATTATTTTTTTACATTGGTCAATATTTGGACACAGAGAACAGGTTCTAATCTAGATAATTTGAATAAAAGGATTTGTTACATTATATCAAATGGCTTACAGGATTATTGAGATGGTTGAATAAAAATCCATAAGAGACCCCAGAATCTATTCTCAAGTCTATACTATAAAATCAGGCTACCAAAGGAGCTTCTTCTCCTACCATGATCAGTAGCTGCTTATCAAGTCAGGAGGCATCCTTCATTATGTATATGAATATAGGACTACCTCACTCTGAGCTGCCAAATTAGCTACAGTTACTGGTTCCAGAACATCACTGTGCTCCAATCAGGAAATCTCATGTGCAAAATCAGGAAGCTTCCACTTTAGCTTCATGGTCCCACATCATGCCACCTTTTTTATTATTCAGAAACCATTTCTCTTAAATCAGCAAGCTTCAGAGATCGAGTTTGTCTCTAGAATCATGCCACATGCGCTATACTCCAGACTGATACAATATATGCTCATTTATCTCAGTTCAAATTTCAAGTCTCATGTGATTGCATCTTATGTGGAACCTAAATCAAATTTGGATCAACAGCTGTAAATGAAATGGAGAAATTTTTGTTTTGGCTTTTTGCTTTCCATAGAAAAAGTAAGTCACTCTAAAAAAAAACTGTAATAGATACTCTGAGCCGAACTTCCTTAACTGCATTGGACTTCACTCTTACTTCTCCACGTTCATCTTTGAAAATTTCAAACATTTTTTTTTGTTATACAGATAATTATATATTTGATTCATCTTAGAGCATAGTCCCAAAGTCTAGAACATTCCTACTGTAAATAAGCACTATATATGACAAACTTTATATATATAACATGTCAGAGGATGCTGAATGCCAACAGAAAGATGATCCAGGGGAAAAGGCATAGACAGAAGGGTAGAGTATGAGAGTAACTGTTATTTTATGTAGGGTAGCCAGGTGAGGCCACTCTGATAAGGAGTTCTTAGCAAGAACTGGAATAAATGAGTGGGTTATATGAATATTCAGCAGAGGAAAAAGCAAGGTCAAAATCCCTCCCTGAGATGGAAGCATGCTTGCCTTTTATAGGAACAGCACCAGGGTCAGGAATGAACTGAAGTAGGGGGACTGGTAGAGGGGGTAGGATTGAGCAGGCCTTTCTTGGCCTTTGCAGGGACTTTGGCTTTTCCCCTGAGTTTGATAGGAAGACCCTGGAGAGTTTGAACATACAAGAGATGCAATTTGATTTAAGTTTTAAAAGGGTTCTTCCAGATGCCATATGAAGAAGACTGAGAGTAGGGTGGGGCAGAGAAGTAAAAGCAGGAAAACCACCTAAGACGTTATTATGATCAACCAGTCAAGAGAAGATGATGGCTTGGCAGTGAGAGTGATAAGAGTGTTTGATTATGTTTCTTTTGAAGGTGTTGATGGATTAGATATGGGTATAAGAGAAGGAAATACTATGATTTTTAACCTGAGCAGGAGGAAGAATGGAAGTTACCACTTACTCAGATGGGGAAGACTGCAGGAGAGAGGATTAATTTTGAGAGACAAGGTGGTAATCAGAGGTTCAGTTTGGGGTATGCTAGTTCTGAGATGATCGTTCGAGACTGAAGTAGAGAGGTTGAGTATACAGCTGGAGAGGAGATTAAGGAGAAGGGTTCAGGCTGGAGAGCTGACAGTATTTAATAAGGCTGACACCAGCTATTAGACTGGTTCAGCTCAGCCAGGGGTATGTATAAATAAGAGAGAATGTCCAATGATTGAGGCCAGAGACACCCCATGTTTAGATATTAGAATGCTGAGGAGAGACTAGCAATGAAGACTGAGAAGGAGAGGAGAAAAGTTGCATGAAAATCAAGAGGGAGTAGAATCCGGGAAGTCAAGTGAACAGTGCTTGAAAAAGGATGGAATTATGAACTGTATCCAAATATTATTGACAAGTAAGATAACAGTATGTCCCAGTTTGCTTGGGATGGTTCCAGTTTATGCCTTTGTCCTTAATTAATTATTACGAGTGTCCCTTTCATACTTAAAAGTGACCTTATTCAGAGCATAAATTATATGGCCCTCTGTGGTTGACATGGAAGTGTGCTCTTTAGATCAGCTTCACAGGGAAACTGCTGTGGGGAGCATGGCTGATTGGTATCTCCTGCTGTTGGACCTTCAGATCTGTGACGTTCCTGCCAGGTCCTGCTTCCCTTGGACCAGTTCCCACCGAAGACTGAACATACAGGA